CGCCGGGCTGGTTTTGTAGTTGTGCTCTGGTGTCCAGCAGCTCCGGGGGAGGTGAGGGGAAGGCCGCGGCCTCCGCGGGCCTTGCCCGCCGCATACCGGGAACCTCTCGCTACGGCGGCAGAAGTGCTGGGTTTGCTTTTTGCGTGCGCGCTTAAGGTAGGGGGTGCCGTCAGGGCACCGTCGGGGGCTGACGTGAGACGGAGAGCAGGTAGGAGTAAGCTGCTATCACAAGGACGATTCGTGTGGCCCGTTTGTAGGGAGTATCTTTGACGATGGCGGTTTGAGAGCTGGTTTCCCGAGAGGTTCCCTCTTCGTCCTGCATTGGCTGGTTTTCGGGAAGGACGTGTGTAGCTCATGCAATCTGAGTGTCTTTTTTAACAAAGGAGAATGAATTCCCTTTGATCTCTCGGTTTCGCTGCCTAGCGGATGTTGTGAGCTGCCGCAGAACTTTCCTTAGAGTCTGTGTTATGCGACAGCCATTACGCAAGGCAGAAAAGAGTAGTTTGGTTTTTTTTAACCTGCTGGGGGAAGACCTTGCTTCTCCCGGCACCTTAGTTGTCTCCGTGTGCCTTAAAAACGTGTGCCCTTTGGTCACTCCAGCCAGGCGGCAGCTTTGCACGCACGTGATCTGCCCCACGGAATTGTGGTGTCGTCCCCCCCGCGTTTTACCTGCGTGGCCTCTCTGCCCGTGAACAAAGCAGGTTTTACAGTGTTTTATCTTTATTTTGACAGTGCCTCGTATTAACTGGTTACTAGTCAGTCTCGCAAGGAAATTGGCCAGAGACTTAGAGGTTTTACTCGGCAAATGGCAGTACTGTGACCTAGTGCAGAAGGGTCAACTCTAACTTGTGCTCTACGTGGAGTAAGAAGCTTGAGTTCAGCTCCCGCTCAGTGATGAAGAGGTCTCAGATAACGGGGCACTTACTGCTCCTGCGAGAGTCCAAAGTCAAAATAGCATACGGAGGGATTTTCAGCATCCTGAGAGGATTTGAGGAACAATAGAAACCACGGAGAAAATTCCTTACTTTTGCAGTAAAACAAGAATGTGAACATTTTGGAATACTCTTCTTTTTTTTTTTTCCCCCCCCAGGTTTATACTATCAACTTGGAATCTCGTTATTTACTAATACAAGGAGTTCCTGCATTAGGTGTTATGAAGGAATTAGTTGAACAGTTTGCATTATATGGTGCCATTGAAGAGTATCATGCTCTAGATGAATACCCAGCAGAGCAATTTACTGAAGTTTATCTTATAAAATTCCAAAAACTGCAATGTGCAAGGTACTAGACAGGGCAACATCTGCCTCTTGCTTTCTTAATCTTTGACACCTTCTTTATTTACAATCTGTTAAGATTCTAGAGGGCTGAAGTAAAATCCTCAGTTTTGCCAATACAATTTAATTCCCTTCAGGGTGGCCAAGAAAAAAATGGACGAACGAAGTTTCTTTGGTAGTCTGTTGCATGTGTGCTACGCTCCAGAATTTGAAACCGTCCAAGAAACTAGGGAGAAGTTGCAGGACAGAAGAAAGTACATAGCAAAAGCAACAAATCAAAGAGGTTTGTAATTAAATTTCCTATAGAATCTTGACATCTCTCTTCAGCGGTGGGTGGGGTTTTGGTTCAAGTGCCCATTAAAGAAGACGCTTGGCATCTGGCTGTTTTAAAGATGCATTTTAAGTATGTTCGCAGCAGAATGGAGACATCTTTCAGTGTTTAGAGGGCTGTATCTTTCTCAAAGCAACTTTTTGCTTTTGGGTAAGACCAAAATAAAGGAAGGCTTAAGCTTTAATAATGAAGTATTCCCTTCTCTTTTTGTTTCCTTTTCAAAACGTTATCAGAAATTTCAAGCACTGGCAGGAAATTTGGGATCATCTTTTCACCCTTGTTCCAGCTCATTCAGGCATGCCCAAAGGGACAGTTTGTAAGGACGGTGACTATACCAGAACCTTCAACAAAAAACTTCTCCAGCATACATTCGGCACTGGAGGAATGCTAAGAACGGACGGGGTTTAGAAAGGCTACTGTACTGCAGAGTTCCCAGGCAGCACTGAACGCTGGGCAAGCTGAGAAATAAGCTAATGGCCAAGCACAGGCTTCTCCTTTCTTGTGCTTATGTACTTTGGTACTGTCATTCATTGCATGAGGATATTTAAAGGGGATAAAGTCACTGATTTTTAACATCGAAACACCTGTTTTTTTTCAATGTTGCAAGACAGCCCGTCCTTCTTGAAATCATGACTGGAGGTAAAAATCATTGATTTGCAACATTAGAAATATTTTCCTCATGTTCTCAAAACTGCTGAAATACTTCTGCTCAGGCATTCCTCACAACCCAGCAGAGGCACTAGGCTGAAGAACTGCAGTTCGAAAGGTGCCGCTTAGGGAAAAAGAATCACAGAAAGGTGGCTGGGAATGAAATATCACTGGTATTGCCTCTGTAATTGTATTAAATGTTTTTTCTTATGTGTTAGAACTACTAATGATGTGAAATAGTGAAGCTACTTTTTTTGTTGTTTTAAAGATTGCTTTGTGTTAAAGAAAGTAGAGGGGCCCCAGAAGACCATCTCAAAGAACTCTGACCGTCCGTGGAGTACACCAGGGTCATGCACAACTGTTAACTGGGATCCATCCTGCTTTACAAGTTCTCACAGGGTATCCCAAAACACAGGATATCCATCTGGGAATCATAATTGGAGCCTGCTGCCATTTCCCCAGTATGATAACAATTGTGCTGAAACCTCTGGGTACTTTGGTCAAAGCACATCCCTAACGCTAAATGTGCAGCCGGGAGGACGTACTCCACCGACTCCTTTAATGCAGCAAAGGACGGTTCCGACTGATAATGGCATTGATAGGTTCATGCCTCGTACAACTCACCTGCAAGAACGTAAGAGGAAGAGAGAAGAAGGTAACAAGTTTTCCCTCATTGGAACAAGTGCGGACAATACTGAAGTCATTATTGGTCCACAGCTACCAGAAATACCTAAAGTGGATATGGATGATGATTCATTGAATACTTCAGCTACATTAATTCGAAATAAACTGAAAGAGGTATGGGTTCTGAAAGTTCTGATATTTTCATTTTCAAACATACGTATTGTGTGCTTGTTACCCATAAAAATAGAGACCCTAAGATAACATTCAACGTTTATTCAGTGTTACCAGTTTATTTGCCACTTAAAGCTAGTGTTCTTACTACTTAACTCTTTCACAATGCAGAATATTGCAGGCCAGTCTACTCCATACCTCTTACGCTACACTTCAGAAAGTATAAATGTCGGTGCATGGTCCTAAATGATTTTTAGTAAACTACACTTTTTTTTCCCACGTGGGGAGGCATAACTTCGGAGGTAGTCCTGCCGGCTCCAGTGTGGTACTTGTATCTGGTTTCTGATTGAAAGGGAGTGAAAAATAATGAAGTCAGAGTTCAATGTAGTTTTGCTCCAACACTTCTTGTGGCATTAAAAGATGTACAGAACTACGCTGAGAAGCATGTCTTAAGCTATTTAACCTTTTATGGAGGATATTAATCAATTAGCAGGTCAAACACTCCTGATACAACTTTCCATTTAAATTAAGATATGAAAAAGCTCCCTTGACTATGACTGACTAGACTGATTTGAAGCTTATCTCCAGTCAAACTGATAAATAAGCACCCCTTATATTAAATACATTTCTAAAATATCTGTCAAAACACAGGTTTTCCCTTTCCTTCCTGGAATACCTGAGTTTCAAAAGCATACTAAACCTTACTTTGAAAATACCTCTGGTAGGGAGAGGGGTGATAAGGTATGTAACACTATCACTGAGTATCTGAAATCAGTTTGTGTGGTTAAAATACAAAAATGGTACTGCTAGCTTTTTTTTTCCTAGGTTTCACTTGTCGTGTTTAATGCTGCCTTTGGTGGTGTTTTTTCCTTTTTTCTGCAGGAAAATTCAATACAACTGTGATTATAGTAATACATCCCTCCCAATACTCAGATGTTGGAGACATGGCCTTACTCTAAAACTAGCATGAAAAAGGAGTGGTTATAGTTTACTAAGAATTTTTTTTCCCCCCAATTTAGGTAGCAGATTCTGTTTCAAGAACATCTGTGGAAAAGCCAGAGAGTAGCCCAGCCAAACCACTTGTAAAGCAGAGAAGAAGAATATAGATACTGCTGGCAGCATCTTCCAACAGTAATTTTTTAAAGGATATAGTTTAAAATATTTTTTTAATGTTAAAAATAAAACTCTTTTATACTGTATTTCCAAGCAATTCCCTGTTAAAAATTGTATCAATTTGTTTCTTGGAATGAACAAACCAGTATAATATATTATTGTTACAATCTTGTCCTGCGTACCTCATACTGTAACATATTTCATAACCCATTGAAGAACTGTATTTAGGTAGAGTAATAGAAGTAAGTTCTATTTATTCAGTAGCTTTTACAGTAAAGGAATACTGAAACTTAGTAATATTTTCAAGTTGCTGCTATTTTTACTATACCATGAAGAATGGTGAAGAAAAAAACCTCTTACAGCAGTATTCCACTTGGAGTTACAGTTTCCGAGTTTCCCGGAAAGTTTTCTGTTCAAATGCCATACTGCTCTGTAAAAAAAAAAAAAAAAACCAACCACCAAACATTTTCAATTGACTAAAGGATTTAAATTTAATCGGAAAAGACGCTAAGCTGAAATGTGTAAGCAGTGACAGTCCTTACACTTAGGCTACCTCTTGCTTTTTAGCTTAGAAAAGGTAAATTCCATAGCATTAATTATGTCATCACCAAGAGATCAGTCTGAACATTCAAAGTTATAACTGAAGGGGAAATGCAAACTGTAACTGTGCAGTGGTGGGAATGTGTGACCAAGGAATGATCTGGCATGGAGGGCAAGCAGGCCTAGCTGCAGAATGAGTTAAACTGGCTGGAA